AAAAAAAAAAAAAAAAACGAAACGAAACTTTATAAGTATATATAAAAAAAAACCTGTAACAATAAAATAGAAAGATAATAATTCAGCCTTGATGCAAGTCCTCTTCGCACTTGGGTATGTCGAATATTTCGGCGAATAACGGCGGCAACTTCAGCATATGCCAATTTAACCTGAACCACTCGAGATACGAAACGTGTCGGGCACCAATGGTTCGTAGTTCGGGCAGTTTCGACAATACCGTTTGAGCTAAATTCTTATCTCCTCCGTGGCCTTTGCTTAGCTAAAAATTTGCAAAAATAATAATATAGGTATAATATATATCTTAATCAAAGCTTCTTTAACTTTGGGATGGTGGTTGGTACAGTGGTCTACGATAAAAGTTAATATAAGTGTCAAKTAAATTTCCGTTAAATAATGTCATCGTGTTATTTACTTTCAATGCAATACAACAGAGTAACACGTAGAGTGTTGTTCGGTATGTCCTTATGGCTGAACATGACCCACCTGAGACTTAATCATAAGTGAAAATCGGGTACAATTAGCGAGGGAGAGGGCTGAAATTTTCTTAGTATGACAAATTTGTATTTTCTCGCTTAGCTCTTTGATTGAATAAACTAATGTATTTCCACTACACAGGAAAACAAAATAAATGTAATTCAAAGATAATAGGATAGTAAAATTGTCAAATTGCTGAATTTATTTCAACTAGGTAATGAAACTATAGTATCTACCAATATTGTTAATGTTTATAAATATTAGGTCGAAGGTTTATCGTATACATAACTATAATATTGTACTCAGACTTATTATGGTGATTATTCTAGGTGATTAATACTTGTATTAATTTTTKGTGATAAATGCTCATATTAATTTAAAATATTAATACTAGCTCGATATTTTGTTCATCTTTCCTTAAATGAATTATTGACGGTGCGAACATTTTAGCATCACGGGTCGTCTAAGCTACCTATAGTATATTAATTATTAATCACGGTCGTATATTATAATACGTACTTGATGACAGTCTGATACTCAAATCAATATACATTGTAATTTTTTTTTGCATCGTGACAGACACTATTGAATATTGATCTATAAATGATTGGTGATTCGACCTGCTAGTAATATATTTAATGCTTGCGCTTTTCGCTACTTCCATAATTGTTCTCGTAGGAGGGCAAAGGTAAAATCAATAAATCATATTTGCATATATATTATACCCCGTGGTCTRTAATATGTGTGTAATTTAAGAAACACTGAGATAAAATTGCAGGTATTGACTATTGAGACATCGCTAGTTAGTGCATAATTCCAACAGTGGCCACCTGTAGTATTCTAGAGATAAATCGTGTATTCCTGGTTCAGATTAAAAAAGTTCTTTGTGTATCCTGGACACCAAGTTACTTAAGAGTTTTCTCATATTTTACAGAAGAGAAAAAACATTTTTAGTTTTACATATTTTTTGGTGGGTGTGTATTACTTAGTTATTTTTCACTACAACTTTTTAATCAATTTAAAGTTGATGAAATTCAGCTGCCACTTTAAATATGATATTATGGATATATATTATCAAAGTCGTATGAAAGAAAAGTTGATTTTGAAAAAAATGTCTCCTATAATAATGTTAAGAATTAATGTCTTTTTATTCAACGCCTATACGATATCTAGGCACACTGACCGGATTWAGGACTAAAAATAAGGTCACGTGAGTTGAATAATGAAGGAAACTTATGACATTTTCTCCACCATTGTTTTTCCGAAGACGACCAGGGGACAATGACAACGACTCACTTGTAGCTTGAACGCTTCAACGATCCGGTCCTGACTGTGCTGTACGGTTTTTACGTCCGATACGCCAGGCCTGTCCGGCGTCAGCAGCACGATGGCGGCAAATAGACCAACTTCGGTATCCGTCAGCGATAAACTATTGAAAGATGTCACCAACTGGAATACGTCAGTGGCGAAATCCACCTGTGGATATTGCAATTATTTTAGACTTTAGATAAAATTTTAATAATAATGAGACGTTACTGTTTCAATCATTTCAGTCAAAGATCTCAACAAAAATAAAGATAACTGCTTTTGAAAAATGGCGCATGAATGATAATAGTTTATATGATTTCTGTTTTATATTAGAAAATCCTGTTTTTGTATTTACTATTGACTTAGTTTAGCAATAACAAAAACGATAGGTCAGAAAAATGTTAATAAATATTTTAAATTAGTGTTGTAATGATATGAATTTCCTTTATGTTTCCACATTTGCTGATGTAATGATTTACGCTATATATGATTTTATGTATATAATATAAGTAAGCAACCCCGTCGATCTGATAACATTAWTTCGATCATTTGTGTTTGAATAGTTTTGGAAATTAAAACCCGAAATAAGCTGACTGCTAAGGTGTATTCGGTTTCCAAACTAAAATTTTTTTTTTGTTTATATGTCACAGATTTCGCYGAAAAATTAAAACATAAAATCATTGATACTGTCTATTTAGTATTTTTTACGTCTGTAGACGGTTATCACATATTTGTAATTGATGTCCTGAAATGCAATTGCTATTCCATTCAACGTATTAATCAGGMCGATATAGAATAGAGTCCGATAATCAGTGTTCAAAGAAGACAAGAGTTTGTGCGTAGGTACATAATATATTATATTTCTCTGAAATTATTTTGATAAATCGTAATGAACTTGACATTTTCAAGCAGATCAACATAAATAWTTTAAACCAAGCAATACGAATCACTAACACCATTATAGCCTACAGGGTACTCGTACACTCAAGCGTAGTAGTAGGTACTGTTGCTTATTTTCGAATGTCTGTAGGACAAATTCCGATGCTTTTCTGAATGAGCGTATTTTTTGTCAAATTAACCATTTAATTTTGTTGTTATGTTAAAATACATCACATTTTCAAATTGAATTGTGTATGGGAATGTTTATGATTAGATTTAAGTGAAAAATATACCGTGAWTTTCTTCAATCTAATGTCAGATATTTTGGCATAAGCCCCAAAATTGTACTGTAGCACAAACATTTTTTTTTTTTTTTTTAAGTTTGTGTCTCTCAACCCATCAGCCTTACAATAATTCTATTATTTCCTCACGGTTTCTGATGCGTAAATTCAAGCTGGTTGAAATATATTCAAATGCCTCTTAATCATAGTACCTTATTTTAACTTTGAATTAAGTTTAAATGTAAAAGTTCGAAGAACAGCTAAAGTATAACTTAGTCTTTAGTATACAGAATAGTATAATGAAATGTGAATTGTTTTTAATAGCACAACTTTTGTTTTATTAAAGTACATGGGTGAGTTTTTATTTTTAAAATTACAATTTAGTTTCATTCTAAAACAAATAATCATCCAAACCCGCTAATTTCAAACCTCTCCCCTAAGACTCTCCCGGATAACCCTCATCGTCRATTAAAACGAAATTGGCCTCGTKATTTACTTCGCTAAATAAAAAAAAATAAATAAAAAACCAGTTTGAAGTAGTGCCAATGGACGCACCCTTCACTCAAGCCTCCAAACCTTGTAAAAATAATTTCAAATTTACTTATTGTTTTATTATATTACAGATTGTAAATACGATTATTTATAAAAAAAAATTACAATTTATTCTGAAAAATCTCAGTCGGTAGTATTCTGTAGGACAGTTTTAGAATTTATTGGCAACACAAATTAATCAGATATTTAGTCACGTTAACTATATTGCCAATAAGTATATATTTATGTTTGTAGTCATCTTATGTGGAGGGTGGGTTGTCAGTTTGTCACTATAGTCTTGTTGCAGATGATAAATACTAAATTGTCATAAAAGCATTTCAAACGAAAATCGACAATTTATTTATTGTAGTATGTTCTGTATGAAGATGTATGCAAGAGCTAGTGCTTCCTAACAGATTTTATGCTTCCACMCTAATCACTCAATAATCATAAACTCATATCCCTTGCTTTGGCATATAGATTTATTTAATCGACAATGTACTATACATACTTTGCAAAAATGGATACGATCGAAAATTATAATATTATGCTGCATAATATAAAATGCATAATTTATGCATTTTATGTAGAAATGTATTTGTCAGTACAGCCAGGTTAGGCTTGGTCACTACCATTTGATAAACCCTCAAATCGTATTCTACCATCTATATGTCTATATATCTATAGTATATTAGTTGAAAAATGAAATCGAAAACATTTTACGAGTAGGCTGTGCACACAATTTCATCATCGAAGACTTAACACTTTTATATAATTATACCTACATTATTTAACTCTACTAAATATATTTGAGATATCTTATTGAATGTGTAGGTACCTATAAACTTGTTAAAAATACTTTCAAAATATATTTCAATTATGAATTTAAGTATCTTCTAAAAATATTTTAAATACCCTTAAATACTTACTTAAAGGTACTATGAGATCTCCTCAAGATCAGAATATGTAGTAGGATATCATGTATGGGAAAATATTTGGGAGATATAAATGTATTAGTGAATTTGATCGGTGGTTTTACATAATATCAAAATTTCGAATAAAATACATACGTCGTAAATGAGTTCCAGCTGCTGTCGAGTGATGAACGTGCCGTCGTAGAAGGTGAGCGAAAGATCTGTGGCCAACCTG